AGTCCTTGATGGGGTTGAGCAGCTGTGTTTTACTGTCCTTGGGGTCATAGATGGAAAACTCTCTACTAATGCCATCTAAGCGCAAATGCTCACGGCCTGACTCCCTGGAATTAACGTTGCCATCAGCAGGTTGCCCTAGCGCCTAGAGTGTCACCTAAGAAGACAAAAGGTTTAATCAATCAAATAAGAGAACTAAACCAGCAATGCTTGCAATTTTCGTAAAGGAGAGAATTAACAAGACACTGCTCTGTAGTCTATTGAAGAGTGGAGCGGGGGTAGCTGTTGGACATGGCTGTGCGAAGCAGAAGGGATGAGGTCCGTGTGCTTACCCTGGTCCTATGGCAGGAGACTTCACTGAGTCCTGCTTATCTCTCAGAGGGGCTTATATCTAAAGGACTGGCATTCTGCATCCAGAAGGTTTGATGAAGAGACCCTTTGTGATGTCCGTTCTGAGACACACTTATGGGACTTCTACAGGGACCCACTTGTGAAATGTGACTATTATCAGTATCTTGGAAGGAGAATCACTCCAGGGATTGAGTCCTCCATGCTCGGCTCTGGGTGACTGTGCCATTGCCTTTTAGCAGTATTTGCTTTCATGCCTGGAAGTACTGTGTCTTGAGATCTTTTCAGAAAAAGCTCCTGTTGTCACATTTCCCTGTAGGTTTCTCATTCATGCCCATGTCCTTTTGTCAGTTTTTATGGCATAGATATGTGATCCAGGTGGATGTCACCTTCAATGAATGGATAAGAAACCCAAAATATTTATGTCTCCTGGAAAGTGAGAGTCTCTGCTCTCCTGCAGCTAAACCCTGCCTCAGGCTAGCCTCACACACAAATCCAGTTGCAAACTTTCTTGAGTTCATCACTCTAAGCAAAAGTGTTCCTGTTGCCACTGTGTGGAGGCTCCAGGTACAAGCAGACATCTAATCTAAGCAGCTCTAACACCCTCTACCCTGAACATAAGTACTGCCCACCCTGCATGGTGCCCTCAGACTTCTTTACAATCAGGCCAAGCAGAGTCTGTGTCACACCAAGGCCACAGGTCCTGTGGCAGGAACCAGGGCTGAGCTCATTCTGTGGTTGTTTAACTCACATCCCTGCACTTCTAACCAGGGCCCAGGCTCTACACTGTACTCAAGGAATGTGGAAATGTGTTCAGCAGAGACTTGCCCTTCCAGGTTCCTTATCAGAGAGAACACTGGGAGAGACCATTCTAGCACAAAGGTAATGTCTGGTAGCACCAAACAAGGATGAGTGACTGCCACACCCAGGCCTATGTCCATGGCAAAAGAAAAGAACCTTTGAAAAGAGAAAGCAAGGATAAATATAATGGACAATGTTGCATGTGACCAGAAGATGCCTTTGCAACAACAGGTGTGGAAGAGTAGACACAAAAAGACTGAGGGACTGTCTGAAAGGGCTACTCGCCTGGCTATGGTTTCTCTATCCTCTTTCACACAAGAGCCTTGTGCATGTCACCCACATTGTGAGGTGTACAAAATTGTGCAAACAAGTGTGACTGCTCACAGGGAACACAGTAGAAAGAACAAAAATCCAGTTATCACATGAAAGCAGAACCTGGGGAGCCAAAATTTGAATAGGATGGTGACATGATTGAACTTTGGCCAGAACTGATATGGACCAGAATCAGTGAGATAGGACAGAGCATGAAGGTGAACCCCCACCTAGCAGCCTGGGCCTGGGCCAAGGTCATGGATAGTGAGCAGTGAGTGAAGGTGTGAGAAATCTCCCAGGCTGGATGAGAAGGGCACTGGAAGTCTGACCGGTCAGCTGTGGATCAGTGAGGCTCTGACAACCAAGAAAAAGGAGACCCTGATTTGAATGGAGATAATGGGTCCATAACTGAGAGTGCAGACAGTTGAGTTTTAGGTGCCTGATGTGGATCAAGACAACTTTAGAGGTCTAGTAAGGTTCTGGGCTGGTGATATGTGTCAGAAGTCACCAATGTATGTAAAATCGCCTAAAGGGAATATTGCTCTGCTGTGGCCTCCACAGTGAAGAGAAAGATTTGCTGAGGATGGGACCTACCTGGACTTGGTTTGGCAGAAAAGAAACAATTCTTGCCAAAGAAAGGAGCAGCTGCAGCTCTTTCCTCAGGAAATAGTAGCTTACTCCTCTCACAGGCAGCACAGTCTGCAGTTTCTCCCTTGCCTCAGCAACCAGGAAGCTCCAGAATAATTCTGTAACTTAAGTTGAGAAGCTGAGAAGCAGCTCATCCAGGAGCTGTTTCTAAATCATTTCATGATGTGTGTATTTCTTAGTAGTCATTTTTCTTTTTTTTAATTTTATTTTTCTTTATTACTTACACTTTACTCACTTTGTATCCCCCCACCCCGTGGTTCCCTCCCTCCTCCCATCCCAAACCCTCCCTTCCTCCACCCTCTGCATGCATGCCCCTCCCCAAGTCCACTGATAGGGGAGGACTTCTTTTCCTTCCTTCTGATCCTAGTCAATTAGGTCTCATCAGGAGTGGCTGCCTTGTCTTCTTCTGTGGCCTGGTAATGCTGCTTCCCCCTCAGGGGGAGGTAATTAAAGAGTAGGCCAATCAGTTCATGTCAGAGACAGTTCCTGTTCCTATTACAATGGAACCCACTTGGATACTGAACTGCCATGGGCTACATCTGTGCAGGGGTCTTATGTTATCTCCATGCATAGTCCTTGGTTGTAATAGCAGTCTCAGGAAAGACCCCTGTGCTCAGATTTTTTGGTTCTGTTGCTCTCCTTATGGAGTTCCTGTCCTCTCCAGATCTTACTGTTTCCCACTTGTTTCCTAAGATTCCCTGCACTCTGCCCAAAGGTTGTCCATAAGTCTCAGTATCTACATTGGTAGTCTGCAGGGCAGAGCTTTTCAGAGGTCCTCTGTGTCAGGCTCCTGACTTGTTCCCTTTTTTCTCCTTCTTCTGATGTCCAGCCTCTTTGCCTTTCTGGATAGGGATTGAGCATTTTAGCAAGAGTCCTCCCTCTTGATTAGTTTCTTTAGGTGTACAGATTTTAGTAGGTTTATCCTATATTATATGTCTATATGAGTGAGTATATAACGTGCGCATCTTTCTGCTTCTGGGATAGCTCACTCAGGATGATCTTTTCCAGATCCCACCATTTACCTGCAAATTTCATGATTTCCTTTTTTTATATTGCTGAGTAATATTCCATTGTGTAGACATACCACAATTTGTGCATCCATTCCTCCACTGAGGGGCATCTGGGCTGATTCCAGCTTCTGGCTATTACAAATAAGGCTGCTACAAACATAGTGGAGCAAATGTTCTTATTGTGTACTTGAGAATCTTTTGGATATATGCCTAGGTATAGCTGGATCTTGAGGAAGCGCTATTCCTAGTTGTCTGAGAAAGCGCCAGATTCCTTTCCAGAGTAGTTGTACAAGTTTACATTCCCACCAGCAGTGGAGGAGGGTTCCCCTTTCTCCACAACCTCTCCAGCATGTGTTGTCTCTTGAGTTTTGATCTTAGCCATCCTGATGAGTGTAAGGTAAAATCTTAGGGTCGTTTTGATTTGCATTTCCCTGATGGCTAATGAGGTTGAGCATTTCTTTAAGTGTTTCTCTGCCATTCGATATTCCTCTGCAGAGAATTCTCTGTTTAGCTCTGTACCCCATTTTTTAATTGGATTACTTGATTTTTTGCTGTTTAACTTCTTTAGTTCTTTATATATACTGGATATTAGCCCTCTGTCAGATATAGGGTTGGTGAAGATCTTTTCACAATCTGTAGGCTGTCGTTTGTCACTTTTCTTAATTGTTGTCTTAGGTGCTTGCATAAAGTACCTCAGATCCTTTGTAAAATTAGGGAAGGTTGAACTATATAAAAATGAATTTCCGCCTTTTTCATATTTATGGGCCATCCTTGCAACCTGAGCAGTGAGGCTGCCCAGGTGCTGAGTTAATACTGACTAAATTGAAGCAGAAGTTCCTGGAACTTATAGGAGCCAGACAGTAAATTTAACACATAACTCATTAAGACGAGATAAAAGCGGAGCTTCAATCATCTTTGTGTTTGCCACCAAGTTTGTGAAAGGCGGGGGTGCCCTTAACACCGCTCAAGATGTAAAAGTCAGATCTTTCAGAAGCAAGAATGCAAACCAAAAGTAAAAGCATGTCTGCATAGACAAGTACTGCAAATGAGTCAAAGAAAGAACAAGGCGTTCACTGCATAGGGCTTGGTTGCTTGCTTGTTTGTTTGTTTGTTTGTTTGTTTGTTTTAAAACTTGGGGCATCACTTTCTTGATTCAAAATATACTTTATGGACAAAAACTTACTCATCAAACAGCTTCAACACAAACTTCTGCAGGTGGTAGATTATATTTTTGATCAGCCAATATTTTGTAAATTATAATTTGTTGTCAGTCAAGCTAGTTTGAGCTAGGCATGGTGGTACACACCTGTAATCCTAACATTTAGGAAACTGAAATAGGAGGCTCACAAGTTAACCCCCGCCTGAACTGCATAGCAAGACCCTGCCTCAAGAACAAACAAATAGTCATTTTATAAATGAGTTTAAAACTATTGTCTGCAGTTGGTACCTGAGAAAAGGCCACTGACAGGGAAAGCAGGGTGCCACCCCCTGCCCCAGCTCTGAAAGATTCAGCTTTGCCTTAGTAGGGTCCCTTCAACATGAGGTGCTGACTGACATCAGGGCTCCACCCCTAAATAAGGAAGGAAAAGTTTGGAAATCATCACACTGGCAGGCACAGCACTAACTTACTATAGGTTGTGATTGTTGGTGATAGGGAAGGGCATGAATGGGGCTACACAGCTGATCTTGGCTGTCAGCCCTGCCAGCTACCCTCTCTGGCCTGGCATGATTCTTTCTCCCTGAAACAGCTTCCTCACCATAAGCTACAATGATTGATGATGATTACAGCTTCTGTAGTAAATTGTAAAAGACTAGGCAGATGTGGAAACCAGCAGAAGAGAGGTTTCCTGCCTCTGACCATCATGATCCTTCTCCATTTCCCAGGAAGAGCCCATCACCTTCAGTGAAGAAGCCTTCGTGTCCCACTACCGCTCTGGAGCCATGAGGCAGTTCCTACAGAATGCAACTCAGTTGCAGCTCTTCAAACAGGTGTCCAGCCTCCCCCAGGGCTTTTGCCAGGTCCCTAGTGGGCATTTCTGCAACTGTGCCCACTTTAGGCACTAAAAATAAGGGAAAGGGAGGGGAGGGGGCATTGTTGTAAAACTGGCTTGCAGTTTTCTGAGTTAGAAACACACGACCAGCATTTTCAAGAGACTCAGGTTTTCAAGTCTTTTCCCATCTTGAAAAGCTTGGCTGGTTTGGGGCATATACACAGTGCCTAGTTGGATGGCTTTCTTGTCTATAGACAAGCTGTGGTGTATTTGGTTTTTCTCTTTCCAGTTTATTGATGGCCGACTAGATCTTCTCAATTCCGGTGAAGGTTTCAGCGATGTCTTTGAGGAGGAGATCAACATGGGCGAGTATGCTGGTAAAAAGCTGCCTACGGCCCTCCTGGCGCCAAAGGGCTTTTTTTTTTTTCCTCTTCAGGAGAGGTAGCGGGGAGACCAACTTCAACCTTGGCCTTGGAAGACTTGGGAAATCCCTTATTTTATGACAGGATACATGTAGTTTGCCCATGTGAAATATCTTGTCCCAGAGTCTGGCAGAGTGTCATGACCAACATGATTGTGAAGTAGGGGAGCTGAACTCAAACAGGGTCCCTGCCTCATTGCTAGCTGTGATACCTGGGCCAAATCATTTCTCTTTTCCAGACGATGCTTTCCCACTTGTGCACTGACAGTGCCATAGACTACCTCGCAGGGCAGCTGTAGTGAGGAAGTGAGTCATTAGGAAGGGTTGCGCAATACCCTAAAACAGTCCCTGCCATAGGATCAGTGTTCAACACGTGATTCTGTGCAGTATGCACATCATCAAGCCAGACACAGCCATCAGGAGGCTGAGGCAAGGGATCGCTTGAGCCCAGGAGTTGGGACCATCGTGGGTAATACAGTGAGAACCTTACTCAAAGAAATGAGTAAAATGTGAGTATCATTGATGGGTGGTCTCAGGGATCATCCTCTCATTTTGCAGGGGAAGCACCTAAAGCACGGGGCAGTGTCAGTAATGAGCACCTCCTGAGTCCCAATCTGGCCATTGGTTTAGTCTTTGATGGCAGAGATTAACAGTACACATTGTTTCAGTCTTTGGAGCAGAAGAATGATACCCTTTTACTACTGAGCCTGTCTAGTCTGGGCTGTGGTGATGACTTTTGGAGCAGTACACAAGGTCACAGAGGCAGCTTCACATCTACCTGTTGATATTTCAGGCCCAAGCAGCCCACACCACAGTTGTTAAAGCCAGTGCAGAGTCTCTGGACAGCCAGGGCAGACTGTTGACAAGCATTCTCTGAACAGTGCACTCAAAGCGGAGTAAACAGTGCTGAGCACTAGCTTTGGTCCTCAGGGAAAGAGATGTATGACTGAGACAAGCACAAAATAAGCCAGTGCAAGAGGAGAAAGACTGGGTTGTATGTTATTGACATAGAGCTCTGTTAACTCTCACTGCTCCATTTCAAGAGCTTGATGAATGAGCAGGCTCTGAGTCAAGTTCTGACCATGGGAGAGGAATTCTGGGAGATGGGCTCTGTATGAATAAAGTCTGCTGCTGAGACCTCCTTGACCCTCAGGATGCAATGAACAGGGCTCACTCGTAACATCTGTCACCAGACAAATGTACTAAAGGTAGTTTGTGTGTCTACAGGGTTCCTATACTGGGTCATTCAACTCTAGAGCTTCAAAGAATATAGAAGTGACCTGAGCTAGAGAGTGTTCCAAGGGCAGAAGAAAGCTGGAGCTGATAAGAGTGCTTCTCTAGCTCTTGTCCTAGGCTCAAGCCCCAGTGCCACATAAACTTGCATTGTGCCAGGAGAATCAGAAGTTCAAGGTCATCTTGGATAACATAGAGAGCTGGAGGCCAACAGGAACTACATGACACGCTTTCTCACTCCCCTCACCTACAAAAAATTAATGGAAAGAAGAGAACGAAGCTTCCAAAAGATACAACATTTTAGCTGCCTGTTCAGTTCACTCTGACACAAATGGCAGGGAATGGTGGCAAGAGGAGGGAAACACATTTTTCTATCTTAAGGCTGGACATTGTTTGCTCAGGAACCCAAGCTCCTTGATCAGGATTTCGGGCTGTGCCTACAGAATCACGGAGGGAGAGGTGGGAAGTTTACACAGTAGGCACTGATACAAAACTCCCTAAATCACTGCCACATGTTCAGAGTGGGACACAGAGGACATCTGGCCTTCCTCTAGATTGTGAGCTTTCCAGTCCACATGAAGGCAATTTAATGACATCTTTAAATGACAACATCTCTTTCTTTTCTTTCCCTAGGCAGTGATAAACTGTACCATCAGTGGCTTTCCACAGTCCGGGTAAGTGTGCCCTGTTCAGAGGCACCTGGTTTCCTCTGTAGCCTCCTGGCAGCCTCTGCTCCATGGCCACCTACAAAGCTGCCTCAAGGCACAGGACATGCCTTTCTCTCAGCTGAAGATGCTTTTGTCTTAATGCCAGACCACCACCCTATGGAAAAGCCTAGAAGGAGACAGGCTCCCTTAATGGGGGAAATGAGGCAGGAGAGGCTCCCTCCTCTTCAGGCCAGCCAACACTGATAGAGTGAAGTATTGTTCTAGAACATTTCCTTTGATGGCCAGGATCATGACAACTTCATGATCACAGGGAAGCCAAAGATTTGTCTCCCTTGCTATACTGCAGTGTTTTTCATAACGGGGGCTCCTGGGAAATAGAAAACACAAATCTGGGAGACTTTTCTTCACTCCCTTACTGCTACTGTGAACAATGGATGTGAATTGGGAGCCAGGTGCTCAGGGCTCCTGTGGCCTATAAGGAGTTCCGATTTTGCCCGACTTTCTATGACTTTCTGATGAGTATATACTCAAGGCCTACTGTGTACCACAGACAGCTGGCCCCTGGGAACCTAGAGCGGGCAGGTCCTGCCCTGGGCAAACTTCCCATCTTGTTATGGAGGCAGGCACGTAAACAGGCAGCTCCAGAATAATGTGATAAGTGTTCTCTTCTGCTCCGGGCCAACCACAGTTGCTGCCAAGGCAGGTCCCATGGAAGTGGCTGCAGTTGGCCAGAGTAAGCAGCTCCCCCGTGAAAGACTGCCTTTGTTCTTGGATGGCCAAACACAGCACTTGGCACATTAGAAGCAAGCAATAAGGACCTGTTGATTGATTGATAAAGGGAGTTTCAGTACTCCAAAGGACCCTTTAAACAGTGTTCTGAGTAATTTTGGAAGGCAGCATGGAATAGATGAGTGGGTGAAATTTTCCTATTGTCCTATAACATAGAATGTTTTCTAGGTCAAATTGTGATGTTTTTCATTAAAACTCAAAATCTTTAAGGCAAGCAGTTACCAAAAGTTGTGCTGAAAGTAAAAATCAATACTTGGTGTCATCTCTTACATGACACATTTGATTAAAAGTTCTCCAGAACCATGATCCCTTGGGCCTGGCTTTCCAGGCTCTGTGCAAGCCACCCCATCTGGCCTCCCAGCCGCATTTCCACCATGGGTCAAGAACCCCTGTCCCTCCAGAGCACACGCATCGCTCTCAACTCCTTTATATTGCCTACTCCAAGAACATTGCTGTATTACTATGTCCCGCTTCAGCCCGCACTCATCCTCCATGGTCTAGGTCAAATGCTTTCTGCTCCCCAGTCTTCTGGTCTCCAAACGCCCTGTATGTAAGCAGTGCAGCTGTCACCATCCATGTGCTCATTTATCCTGCTCTACCTCTTACTTGTGTGCACAAAGCCTGGTGGTCTAAAAAGAGACTCCCCCTTGACTCAGGGCCCTTATAGCCTTACAGCTTGCTACCAGGGTATGATTGAAATGGCCTGTGCCCTTCCACTCACTTAGCTGCCTAAGCAGTAGAAAGCCTTCCTTCATATCTTCCTCCCATGCTCCCCACAGAAGTGACAAACCATATTGCCAGAGGGTCCTGGTTGATCAGGACCCTGTTTTCTTTACTGGCGTGGAGTCAACTAGGCAGTTCACAGTTATGAAATATGATGGAAACTATCTATGGTAACTAGAAATTCTTTAAAGAGCTCCTGGTGACCATAAGGAAACCTTTGCCCCAGATAGCCTAGATAGGGGCAGGTACTGAGCAGTATGTTGAGCCTACTGTCTCTCCTTAACTAGTTATCATGTGCCTCTTCCCCAGTTCCTGCACGTGCATGCACACATTCTCTCTCTCTCTCTCTCTCTCTCTCACACACACACACACACACACACACACACACACACACACACATACACCAAAGTGAGTGTGCCATAGCCTTAACTGACCCCAGTAACCACCTGGGCCTGCTTCTCTTCTCACGTCACATACTCTGGAAATGTTGTCTGGCTTGATTAAAAAGAAACACTCTTTGTTGGTGCTGGCCCACTCTCCCTCCAGCCCACGTTGCTGATTGACATTTTTATTACAGAAAGGAAGTGGAGCGATTCTGAATACTGTAAAAACAAAAGCTAACCCAGCCATGAAGACTGTCTACAAATTTGTAAGTACTGGTCGCAGTATGGAAACCATGGATGGATTCTTCATGCAACCTGAATTTTGCTTATTTGTTTCTGGCTTATTTGATTTTTAGTTTGGGGGAGGTTTTTTGGTTTGGTTTGGTTTGGTTTGGTTTGGTTTGGTTTTTGTTCTTTGTTTTGTTTGCTTTTTTGAGGCAAGGTCTCACTATGTAGCTCGGGCCACCCTAGAACTCACTATGTAGACCAGGCTGGTCTTAAACTTAAAGAAATCCCTCCCTCCCATCCCTGTCTCCCAAGTGCTGGGATTAAAGATGTGTGCCACTATGCCTAATACAACATGACTCTCAAGTGTATCAATGCCTCAATTGCAGAAGTGACCAAAGGGTGGCCATGCTGTTTCTTAGGCGTCTCAATGTTCTGAGAATGCTTGGCATTGCTGTTTTACAACCAGGACTGTGTGCATGGTGGGGAGACCATCTCCTCACTTCTAACAGGTTATATGTATGGGCACATACATGGAGTGCAGAGACCAGAGGATTGGAGGCCTCTGTTTTATAACCATGACTATGTACACAGTGGGGAGTCCTTCCTCAGTTCTGTCCCAAATTCTTCATCCTCTGAGCTCTTACCACTGCCCTATAGGAAGTTCATTGTGAGACCCCTGCCTACAACAGAGTGAAAACAGGAGATCCATCAGTTCATGGTATTCCATCTCTCAAAAGCCTCAAGTATTTGTTCTTGTGCTTTTTTTCTGCTTGCTCAGTTGACTCAGAGCCATACACATGGGGTAGTATTGTTTTATTTTCATTTTTAATTATGTTAGTACTTTCTGTGCCTAAACTCTAGTTTCTATACTGATGAGTGGCTACCAGCAGAGCTGCACAGGTCAAAACTGACAGAAAACAGAAGCCAGGGTGTCTTCTAAACTGAAATTTAGGAAATGGCACTAGTAAAACCTGGCAATTGCTGTGTTGTTTCAACCCTCCAACCTGGAAAAGAGATTGACCATGAGGCCCTGGTGAAGCATGGTGGGGTTCTGAGTCTTGTGGCCAGTAAAGCTGCTCATCTTTTACTGGTAGCTGTCACCAGGCTGCTGAGGTAAATAATTATAGAGAGCAGAGGAAAAGCTTGGGAAGGGAAAGAAGAAAAAAAGTCTGTGCCATCAAAATGCAGAAAGTAAAATCCCTGCGGCCCCTTTGAAGGATTTTTTTTTTAACCTTTTACCTTTGTATTTGTTTTCACAGCCATTATATTTTCAACTTGATGATCCCATTTTTCCTTCATTTTTCTAGTAATCAGAGAAGGTGATTCGTGGTGGACTGAAATCAAGCATAGACCCGGCTGGAAATAGAAAGGGAATCTTAACTTAAATTAATTTTTCATGCAGGCAAAAGATCATGCAAAAATGGGAATAAAAGAGGTGAAAAATCGCTTGAAGCAAAAGGTACTTGAAGTTCTTATTCAAAATGTATAAGCACCGTGTATGAAATGCGTGGCCACAAAAAAAGTAGGATGTGATCAATAGAGGGCTGTTTGATACAGTGTTGTTAGCACACTTCAAAATGCATTACCAGCTGTCCGGGAGTTTCACACTGTTATAAATATTCACAGACGAAAAAAATCGTCTTCAAATAACATTAAGACTCCTTGTGGTCTTAAACCCACAAAGGCTAGTGAGTTCAGCGTTACCACTGTCTCCCACCCTGCCCCACCAGGCCTGGGGTGTGCAGGTGTCCAGCAAAATTGGCTCACTCATATATATTCCCCACCACCCCAGTATCACTGTATTCCTGCAGACACCCTCTGCCCGGCTCTGGTCATAACTTAAACATAAAAGCATTTCCAAAAAAATGACCACCCTGTTTCTAGCATACACGTGGTCCCTACGCAAAACACACACAAAGAATGAGCAGGAAGGGAATGCTGTGGGTCTCCTATCCCACCCCCACTGCACAGAGCAAGAGTAGCCTATCCTGTGTCTAAGGTACATGCAGGCAAACAGAGGCTGATTGTCCCTGTGGTCCATCAGAAAACTTGTATGTAGTCACTGTGGCTAAGACTTCCTCAGCCTGAGTTCCTGGGGAGTACAGCAAGGTGAGCAGAGCTTAGGGTGGGGGTGATACTATTGCAACACGATCTCTGATATTGTGATTGCCGCTCTTTGTTAAAGATGGGCAGACTAGGAACTGTCACCCCAAATCCGTAGAACAAAGCTTTGAGTGAAGAGACTGGTTGGTTCACAGGTGAAGTAATTTGCCCAAGGCCACAGTGCGTGAGCCTAGCAGAAACAGGGTTAGGTTTCAGATCTGCTGGCCTCCACTGTCAGAGGCCTCCACTGTACCGCCCGCTGCTCTCCCCAGACATGTGTTCTCTTTCGCAGAAGATGTCTAAATGTACCACTGTCTCGCTGGTTTGTTTTTGTTTTTGTTTTTAAATTGAAATCACTTTCAACTTTATGAAGTCAGAGAATTCCTCATTAACTTAAAATGGGTCGAAGAAATTGATTCCTTTCTTTTAATGGGAAAATGATTGGCTCTGACTAAGCATTTAAATTCCTGGCTTCAACTGACAGTGAATTCTTAACAGCTGAGGTTCTCATCCTGCGATATAACCCTGTAACACAAATCCACGCAGCCCCCGTGGCAGTCTGTGCACTCTGGCAGACACTGGCAGGTGGGACTCTTCACATGGGTGTTATTTAAGTCACTAATCATACCTTTTCATCTCCTGTCCCAGTCACATAGGAATGAATTGGATGTGTCCAGGAGGTGGTTTTCCCCCCCCCCCCCCCCCCGGGTCTAGATCGTAGGCTATGGTTAGTTAGTATATCGCCTGAAATAAGCAAAGGAAAGTCCTTCCTCGGGCACCAGATAAAGAAGCAGGGGCTCCTTGCTTCTGACCACAAAGCTGGAGACTGCCCTTCAAAGAGTTCCTTCCCACTATGCCGTCTTTCCACAGCAGTCAGGGAAACTCAGCTTTTTTCACACATTTATCCAAAGGTTCATTTACACAATCTAGATCATGTTCCTTGACACACTCCACCTTTCCCTTCCTTCATAGAATCTAAAGCTGATTTCTTTTCTTCCCCTACTCTCTCCCCCACCCACGCCAGTCTTTTCAAGAATAGCTTCAGGAGATAATGTTCTATAGAGAGTGTCAGTGCATCTCAGGTGACACAAATGGTGAAGGCATTTTATAGAAATGTGACTTGTCACCATTGGACTGTTGACAGATCTATTAGTGCACCCTTTTCAATTTTCACTTCCCCCCCCCCCCTTGGCTCCTACAGATTTCCACAGGCTTGATATTTTGCAGTTGTTCTTGGAGGAACTGTTTTGTAATTGAAACCCCACCACCGTTCAGTACATTCAGACCACTAGTCTCTGGTGCTCTCCAGCTCTCTTTCTTGAGCTAACTTAGGATTTGGCTTCCCCTGACCTACCTCACTGTAGTGGAATATATTTCTTTGGCTTTTTTCTTCCCCCTTCCATCTGCCCTTCCATGCAACATGGAACCTGTCTCTATGGCTCCCCAGATTCACCTAAAACAGACATTTCAAGTTTTGTTTCTGCTATGAAATTGAAGCAGTTGCCAGCAAAGACCCAATTTTCCAATGTACTGGGTGGCCACCTGGCCTCCTCTAACTCCGCATAGCAATGGTGGCATCGCACACATAATCAAGAACCCAAACTTGCCCTTTTTGCTCTTGCCTTGGGTTTGATTTACAAATAGAGAATGTGGGGCTGACCTGTGGAGAGGTCACCATGGTGTGTGGAGGGTCCATCTCTAATATGACTGAACAGGGTTCCTTTTCCATCCCTTGTTCATCTGTGCTATATATTTTTCAAAGCCTCTGAAATAGCTTTCAGGGTATCTGTGACCATTGGCAAGTGATTGTTCGTAGATCTCACAGTGTGGCTTTATTCCATGTCTGCTCTGCTTCAGCCCCGGAACAAAAAAAGAAAGATGGAAAACATTTCTCTGGATAAATGGAACAAAGTGGCCAAGTTCTGTTATAGCCTGGCCTCCTTTGAAGTTCAACTTGCTCAGAGTTAGGAAGAAGGAGAAATGACAGAGATCCCAGCCATGGCTTCCTAAGGGAGAAAGTGGCACTTTGCTGGGAGTATGCCCTCACCAGGCCTGACCTGCAGAAGAGCATCAACAAATTGCATTCTGCTTCCCTGGTTCAGGCTGTCTGGAAAACGGCACTTTAAATTCAGTGGCTGCACTTGCTCCCTCTTCACCTGTAGGGAACGCTAAGAACTTGACACCCTATGGTGGCCTCCTGAGTTGTAGCTCTTGTCTTCCTCTGTGTGACCCGTCAGAAAGGAGTTGCCCCACCCCTCCCTGCAACTTTGTTTTGCTTTTTAAAAATGACATTTTGAAGGTCATTTTTTTTCCCATTTACCAACAGATTGCATGTTTATTGGGAAATTTAGCAAATCAAAGATCTATGTGCCCTTAAAGAATCCTGATTATTTTTCTTTAATATCAAAATGGTTTAACCAAATGGGCTCATTTTCTAGTCATTTGGAAAGTTTCTAAATCACTGTTCTTTAAAAGACAAGTTGAGCTTGATTAGTGTCTGTGATTGAAAGGAGCAAATTCACAGTTGGCTTGACTTTCTAGCCAAACACTTGCAATAGCAGTGAAGGGCCTGAGCAAGCATGTGGGGGGCGGGGAAAGCAGGTAGACTCTTACAGAACAGACATTTTCACACTGTATCACACAACTGTCAGCTCCCTGTCTATAGACACCTTAAAATATGCTGCAGCCTCAATCACTGAGACTCCAATTTTGGCTACTAGTCTGATATCAATATTCATATTTTAATTTACATTTGCTGTTGTGGGGAGTAGGCTGGGAAAAGACAGGTACAACATAAATCTCAAAGTGGAAATAGGTTCTCTCAGAGGAAATCAGAAGGTACTGGCCTTGGCACACACGCCTTCAGTGCCCTCTCATGGGGATGTGGCTTCTGAGGCCAAGCAGAAGATTTGGTCTGGTTGTGTAGGATATTAGCTTTGTGGCCCTGGTGGAGTTACCAGCCCTGTCTATTTTCCTCATCCATAAACTAAGGACCCAGAAGCAAAGTGTTTTAACAGTAGTACTTAGTAGCAACTGCATAAATGGGAGTACATCCTCTCCATTTTTTTGGCCTCATACCTAGAACAGTCTGCCCAAATGCCATGGGACTGCCTCCCTTTAGGTTGCTCACACAGCCACAAGAGGAATCTTTCCACAACATGGCTCTAACACAGCTGTATTTTTTTTGGTTGAAACCACCCTGTTCTTGCCAACCTCAGCCTGCCCAGCACAGAGAGGGGTACTTTAGCCATTCTGTGAGTGCTAGGCCAAACTCCAGTTGTAAATGCCTGGCCTGGCCTTGCTTCTCTGCCTCAGAAAGCCTGTTCCCACCTTCTCCAAAGGCCATGATATCCCTCTCTGTTCCCCAGGCTCACCAGGCCCTGGCTTCATGCCCCTGCCTATCACAGATCCTCATCCAATAAGGAAGATCATACGCTATGCCCTTCTTCTCCACAGTGGTAGAGGTTAGCTGTCCAGATTTTTTTATCCAAGGAAGTGCTCTGGGAAGGTGACAGGAATAGAGTTCTCCTCTGTCCCCTTTGCTCTGCCTAGGGTTGGGGCTTGGTGATGCTCTTCTTGATCTTAGCCTTATGGCTCGTGGGAAGAACTTACTACCCTATGGTGGCCTCCTGAGTTGTAGCTCTGTCTTCCTCCTATGTGACTCTTCAGGAAGGAGTTGCCCACCCATCCTTGCAGGCCCTGGTTTTGTTTTTTAAAAATGACATATAGAAGGTCAAAGTGTTTTGTTTTGTTTTGTTTTTTCCTGTAAGCCAACAAATTGCATGCTTATTGGGAAATTTAGCAAATTAAAGAAGAAAAATAATGTCCCTTTTCATCTGCATTTTTATATGGAATGCCCTGAACATGTCCCAGCCTTCTAAAAGTGTAATCCAGGAAGTACTCTGGGAAGGTGGCAGAACAGAATTCTCTTCTGCCCCCTTTGCCCTGCCTAAGGTTGAGGCTTGGTGATACTCTCCTTGCTCTTAACGTTATGGCTCCTGGGAAGAGTTTGCACATTTCTTCCATTTGTCCTTGTTTTAAATAGCTCATGCATTTTATTGGATTGCATATATACATGCATACAACATAAACACACACACATATATATACATAGATGCCACACATACACACATGCACACACACACCTCCATCAGTTTTATTGTTGAACACTTATGTCACTTCTAGGTTCCTTCATTTGAAAACATTTCTGGAATTGGAACTAGTGGGCCACAGGATATTCATATGTTGTAGTATTTTTATGTAAACTTTCAGTTTGCCTTCCTACCAAGAGGGTGTCAGGGTACCATATCTCAGTCCCTTAGCTAATGGGTCAGTTAGTTCTTAGTCCACAGTGTCTTCGTTCAAAGAATACAGACTTGCTGTTTTGGCTCCTACTCATGCAAGTATGTCTACTCGTAGATAGAAAAGAAAATATTCACTGTTCTCATTGCTCTCTTGACCTGAGCTGCTCCTCCTCTACTCCCTATGACATCCTAGAAGAAAGCAGTTGTCCTTCCCCAGATGGAGGAAATAGTGAAGAAGCTAACTACTCAGTGGGGGGAGCCACAAGAAAGTACAGAAACGATGGGGTCTCTAGATGTGCTAACTAAACAAAATGTGGCTCTTAGACATCCAGGCACATTTACCTTCCAAATGTTTAGTTCAGTTTAACAGAGATTTATGGGAGAACTGTGCGAGACTCAAGAAAACCCAGATCCCAAGGAACTCACAGTCTGGAGAACTTCACAGTAAATAGCATAGAGCATGGCAGCCTGTGACCAGTTTAGCAAGAAAAGCTTCTAAAAAGAAAGAAGTCATTTCTGATGGCACAGTATAGCATGTACTCCCTCAGGTCATGATATCTCTACTTGGGCCTCTTTTTTTTTTTTTTTACAACTTATTTTCTTTGTATCCCAGCCATAGCCCCCTCCCTCAGCCCCTCCCAATCCCACCCCATCCCTTCTCCTCCCCTGATCCACTTTCATCTGACCCTAGCCTATCAGGTCTCATCAGGACTGGCTGCATAGTCTTCCTCTGGTAAGGCTGCTTCCACCCACCCACCCACCCCCGCCTCAGGGGGAGGTGATCAAAAAGCTAGCCAAAGAGTTCCTGTCAGAGAGTCCCTGTTGCCTTTACAAGGGAACCCACTTGGATACTGAGCTGTCATGGGCTACATCTGTGCAGGGGTTCTAGGTTATCTCCATGAATGGTCCTTGGTTGGAGTAACAGTCTCAGAAAAGACCCATAGGCCCAGATATTTAGGTTGTTGCTCTCCTTGTGGAGCTCCTGTCCCCTCCAGGTCTTTCTATCTCTTCCTTCTTTAATAAGATTCCCTGCACTCTGCCCAGAGTTTGGTTATGAGTCTCAGCATCTGCTTTAATACCCTGCTGGGTAAAGTCTTTCAGAGGCCCTCTGTGGTAGGCTCCTGTCCTGTTCCGTTTCTCCCTCTTCCAGTGTCTATCCCTTTGGCCCTTCTGAGTGAGGATTGACCATCTCAGCCAGGGTCCTCCTTCTTGCTTAGCTTCTTAAGGTGTACAGATTTTAGTATACTTCTCCTATATTATATGTCTAATATCCACTTATAAGTGAGTATATACCATCTGTGTCTTTCTGCTTCTGGGATACCTCACTCAGGATGATCTTTTCTAGTTCCCACCATTTGCCTGCAAATTTCATGACTTCCTTGTTTTTAATTGCTAAGTAGTATTCCATTGTGTAAATGTACCACAATTTCTTTATCCATTCCTCAAATGAGGGACATCTGGGTTGCCACTTGGGTTTTTGTTAGAAGTTGATAAGACTTACATGTCTTGAGTGTTTATTTTAGGCTCCTTCACTTTGTAGCTCTGTGGTCTTGAATCCTATTGCCTCATCTATAAAGAAAGATAATACTATTTCATGATCATCATGAGAACTAAGTTTGAGGATGGAAAGCAGGAGTCTGGAAAAGTAACCACCAAGGTTAGGTGCTCCCACCCAGGGAAGCATTGTGTCCAGGGAAAGTGGCAGATCTGCTGTTCAGTTGGCATAATTCTAGACCCTCTCAAAGCCTCCTGATACCTCATCTTATTTAAGCCATCCCCCACAGACCTTTGCCAAACAACTGGGAATCTCCCTCTTGTAAAAACAAAGAAACCATTGCAGAGAGTAAATTAATCTGAAAGATCAGGCAGCTAGTTGATGGACCAGATAAAGCTCGAAGACACCAGTTTTTACTTAAAGCTTAAACTAAGATACTCTCCCCAAAAACCATGTTTTCTTTCTTAAAAATTATTTTATTGTTACCTAGTTAATATATTTTTCTACCATGTCACCTTATAGCACCCTTTTTTTTTTTTTTTTTTTTAGCCAAACATACACACAGAGAGACACACACACACACAGGCACACACAGTAGTGGGGGGTGGGCTTATTTTCCTGGACCAAAACTGAATTTGTTATGGTTTGGCCTCATTCGCCCCGTGTTAATCCTCTAGATGCACCCACACACACCCGAAATGCCCCTTTTGCCCTTTTGTTGCTCTCTGACACAGAAGGAGCCCCTCCCCTGCTTTGTTCCATTTGACCCAGGCACCTTAGGGCAGCCTCTTTCCAAACAATCCATTTCTAATTGGCTGTCAGCAGCCCCTTTTATCACTGAGCCTTAGCTTAGCTGAGACTGGCCAATCCAATGTGGGCCACATGACCCAAGCCCTGTTTGTAAGGCCAAAAGGTCATCACCTTCCTGTATCATTGACCAAGCAGAGACTCTTCTGGGCTGGCTTGCACAGCAGCTGATTTTTAGGAAAGGAAGCCAGGAAGTAGGCAGTTAGATGTATGATACTGCACACATTCACACATATCCATACAGGTATACATGCATGTGTGAAAGCTATCTGTTTCATTCCAATAGTTTATTAGGTAGTGAATGATGCACTAGGCACTTATGTTACATTACTTATCTTTTTTCCTCCCTAGCTCCCATGTTCCCAGTTACAGTTAGGGAAACTGAGGCTCAGAGATCTTACCTTTGCCTCCTCCTTAATACATAATTACTTTCTGCGTAACCACTTTCCCTCCGTCTCATGTTCTGTTGAGAAAGTGGCTAATGATCAGAAGTCTCTTAACTGCAGAATTTGAGGAATATCCTGTTGACCAAAATGTACAATTGTTTTTACAGTGGAAAGATTGGATCTTATGTTATTTAATTCAGGCTGTGAGATTTTTGTGGTGAAAAAAAAAAATGATTACTTAAATGTTATTTGTTCTCTGACTTGTCCTGAGTAACTTACTTGACCTCAATAAAACATCTAATGCTTATTGCAGAAGGGGAACACATCCATGTTTTGATAGCCCATGCCAGTGCTCAGCTGGCGACCACAGCCAAAGAAGCCATGACCTACCCTTTGCACATGGGGAGTTTTCTTAACTTCATTCACCAGACATACAAATAAAATGTAAATGTTTAGGTTTAAAAATATTTTTTTGGTCCTGTAGATATTGTGCAGGTCAGGGAGTCCCTTAGGCCCTTCCAAAACCACAATTTGAAGAGGAAAGGGCCAGGACTGTGATGGGTAGTGCCAGCAGTAAGCAGACAGAAAAAAAGGCCACACTGGAAAATAATCAAAGTAATGCAAATTAAAACAACAATGAGGTCTAATTTTTCACCTATTAAATTAGCAATACATTTTTAAAATGATAAGGCTAACAAGTACTGTGAAACTGATAACACACCCACTGTGGGTAGTTGCTGTAAATTGGAAAGCAATTTGGTAAAATGAATAAAAAGCCTTAAAAAGTGTTTATGTTTGACCTCATGTTTTCGTTCTGGGGATTTCCACAAAAGGAGTAATACAAAAGGAAAGAAAAATGTGACATTTATTGCTAGCATTTTGAAAGGAAAAATTAAAAAAAAAAAAAAAACAAGCACCCAATAGTGATGGGATGAATTATTAAATCATTTGGTGTCTGTTCAATGAAAATATTATGCATCCATTAAAATTATTATTATAATAACTGTGTAGCACCATGGTAATACTTATATTGGAGAAAAACAGGATATAAAATTATGCATGAGCTGTGATTACAAGTAATTTTAAATGTCTGCATATAGACAAAGTGAACATGTGAAAATGAAAATAGCCATAGAAGAATATAGAATGAAATCATTTTTTTCACCACTGTAAATTATTATGTTTACAGTTGCATGTGGATGATTTTAGCTTCTTTGATGTGTCAGTGTCAGAAGGCCAAGTTGGCTTCTGTTTTCCGCACCTCTCCCAGGGGTCAGGCTTAGAATAGGCTGGAGGGAGTTCTTAGCAGGCTTGTGGGGATGAGGTGAGAGGGCAAATGGTCAGGACCCCAGTGCCAACCCCAGACCTTCCTTTTCCCTGCAGGACATCACCGAGAATGGCTGTGCTTCCTCTGCAGAAGAGCCACTGCCAAAGACCATGCCATCCCCACTGACAGAGGCCAAGGACCCCAAACTTCGAGAAGACAGGAGGCCAATCACAGTCCACTTTGGGCAGGTATGAGCTATGCCCTTTTACAGGGCCTTTTGGTTCTTTTGATTTTGTTTGTATCAGAAGTTGGACTGTGAGCACCTGTGGGTTTGCACCCAGCTCTCCTTCAGCAAAGAAATTCCATGTTCTTCATGCTGTCAAGAGTTAGACATAAACATATTTTCAAAAATCTGGGGAGGGACAACATGGCAATGGTCGTCAGTAGCTCCACTGTTAAATGGAATCATTAAAGTATCTATTCTCTTCTCTAGACCTAGGCACTACATTTTAGGTGTCTGTTAGCTAAGCATCTCATTAGAACACTTAGGCATCCCAGTCCCTTCTTTGTACCTTCAAATAGAAGGCAACATGCAAAGGCTTTTTAAAAAAGTCAATTAGGAGTTCTTCATTAATGTACTTCCTGAAAATCAATATTGGGAGTTGCACTTCTTGGAGTTAACATCTTTGCTGTGATTCTAAAGATCCAGCTCTTTCCCCAACTGCTTGCAAGGACCTGAGTGCTTAAAAAATTGTCTATTTGTTTGATTTTATTTCTTTCCTTTTAAGTAATACATAGTACACTTTAAAGAAATTGAAATCTTTATCTATTTCCTACCTGTGATTATATTTTCAATTAAAATAATTATGTACTCTTCCCCACCTCTTTTCAATCAACTGCTTTAATTATCAAATATAAACATGTTGTGTTTAGTGTGTGTGGTTTAGTTTGGTGGTTTTGATTTGATTTCATATCTGAAACATGGCTCTGTTAGGTTGTAAAAAGAGTTTACAAGGTTTCTTCTTGTTGTTGTTTGTTTTTCTAGTGAAAGGACCTAATGCTTGCTCAGCAAGCTCTGGTGTATGACTGAACTTAAATCACCTGACTCTTTAGCCATTCCATAGATGAAGTATGATAAAGCTAGTCTGTATGATTTTTATTTACTCTAAGTAGGGTTGATATTTCACCTCAGAAAGGATCTAGAATCCTGAGTTTAAAACATTTCTTATTTTGAAAGATATTCATCGAGTGCCGTTATGTATCAGGCATTAAACTCCTTAAAAACAAAGAGAACCAGGCCCTGAAGATGGCTCAGCAGGTAAAGATACCTGTGGCCAAGCCTGACAATTTGAGTTCAGTCCCCAGCCACTGGATGGTAGAAGGAGAAAACCAACTCTCCCAATTTGTCCTCTGACTTCCACATTTGGATCTTGGCATGCACATTCCTCACATACGTAAGCAAACACATATACAAGAAAAATAAATAAAAATATAAAAGGAAAAAAGGAACTAGCAAAACAGCCACTGTGGGTTGTTGTAAGGCATGAGCTGGCTGCAACATGAAAATCACTCTTTTCTAATCACTCTTTTTGAGTAATATGTCCACACCTCATCAGTTGAAGAAATCTGCCTTTTTATCATAGAAACTGGCGAGTTCTGTAAAGCAGAATTGCTGACTAACCCATTATCTTCAAAGCACACTGGTGTTTGCACCCTGAAGATCTGCCTCCTCCAGGCTCAGGCCCTGGTGGAGCAATCCTCACCCCAGTTCCTGGCCATGTTTGCTGAAACACACAGCCCTGGTTGTCACCATTGTGGCATTCCAGAGTCAGCTTCTTGCTTTCCTTTGTCCTCATTCCTGCACATTCGAACCTGCCCATGAAAGGAACCCTCGCTGGAGTTGGGAGCCCATTACAGAGAAAGAAGAGGCGGGGGAGAGGGATTTCATGGTGTTAAACATTCCATTTTCAAAACACACAAAAAAGGAAGCCCTATTTGAAATAGAGAGACCTTCTTTCCATTTCAGCAAGAAATAGAGAGATGCTTTAATGTCATTCCCAGCTAAATGCAGAATAAGAGTGTGCTTGCTCATGCGGGCGGGGGATAAACAATTAAAAAGCCACCCCAAACTCTGTTGAAATAAGAGCTGTCTGTGCCTTCACAGGTCTGCAAACTGGAGAGGATGAAAGTGGCTTCTCCCCACCCCCGTTTGTCACTTCCCTCACGTGGCTGCCAGCATTATGCAAGTGTACAGGAAGGCAGGAATTTTTTTTTAATGCATGCATGCGGATTAAGGTCAAGCCCCTGGTATCAGCCATGCAGCGGGCTCTCCCTTCCAGCTGCAGCCACAGAGCCTACCCACAGCCACAAGATGCCTTAATTGAGACGTGCTGTCAAAGTGACAAACACATTTGCATACAGTCTACACTCTATTTATTTTCCCTGGAAAGGTCTACAGTCTGCTGTTGGTTGAACATTCTTAATCAGTTTGCTGTAAGTGAACTGCCAGCCAGCTCACTTGTGCTGGCCCCTTCTTATTAGGTGACAGATTAGCTAGGGTGGGGGTGGGGCCAGAGAAACCACAGGTACACACACTCCTTTTTTTTTTTTCTTCTTTGCAGCTTTGCTCCTTGGTGGGTTGCCCTTCAGTCCTTCCCTTGGGCCTCCTTTGATGGGCCATTGCTTGCAAGAGTACAGTTCCTTATGGCCAGCCTGAGTTTTAAGGGTTCTTTCTAACAGTTTTTAAATGTTTTCTATGTTCTGTGTTTTCCTTACTTGACATTGTTCTCTAAATATTTTGAACCTGATATGCATCCAAACTGTAGCCTCATCTCATGGTATCTCTAAAATCACAGATTTAACATACTAGTCCAGTTTTTTTTTTCTTTTCTAATCTTTAACAAAGGTGAAATGTTCACCTATAGGGCTACATGTATAGCCCTAGCATGTAAATTCTCTTCTTGGGGGTGGAGGAGCAGACCTCACAATATCTCATATGAAGGAAGGGACCGTCGGCCTTGTTTTATGGATAAAGAGCTGAAACACCTAAAAAGGACCTGCCCAGACCCACATTTCCAGTATGGACACTCCAGGCAGCCTGACTCTAACCCTAGTCAGATTGTACCTGCTAAACCTCCTGAACATTCTCACCCTGGGCTTACATTCCTATGGGTTTCTTCAAGTCTGCTTACCTAGCTGGAGCTGGGCTTGGTAATACATGTTTATAATCTTGGGCCTTGGGAAGCTAAGAAAGGAACAACACAAGTTTGAAGCCAGTCGGGAATACATATGATATTCTGTCTCAAAAGTAAATAATAAGGTAAAACAAAATAAAACAAAAAGTTCACTTATCTGACCTGTGAAAACCAGAACTGTTGAGATAGCAACATTAACCCTTCTAAATTACAGCACTAGTGGTGGTGCCTAGGTAGGACAGCCCCAATGGACAGATCCTATAAGGGGAGAGCAAAAGGCTCTTTGCAGACTCTTCAACTGTGGTGGGTATAGCTGAAAAAGGGGACTCAGTGCTGAGAGTGACCACTGTCAGGGAGAAAAGATAGTCTCTTTCTTGCTGTTCTCCTCCAAGCTGTAACTATGCCTCTATTTGCATAATCACTTCTTCATTCATATACCATGTATAAGTAAGAATCTAGTCTCACATAGGACATAATGATGGAGAGAGAGAGAGAGAGAGAGAAAGAGTGTGTGTGTGTGTGTGTGTGTGTGTGTGTGTGTGTGTGTGTGTGTGATCAGAGGACAACTTGGAGAAATCAGTTTTCGCCTTCCCCCATGTGAGTCTTGAAGATCAAACAAGTTATCAGGATGGCAGCAAGCATCTTTACTCATTGAACCATCTTCTTAGCCCCTAAAATGCAAACCTTTTAAATAAAGACTAAAGCTAGGCAAGATGTTGTACCCCTGTAATCTTAGCACTCCAAGGGAGATAGAAGCAAGATCAGGAGTTCAAGTCCAGCCTGGGCTACTTAGAATGCTAACTCAAAAGAAATAAAGAGTAAAAGGAGAATATTACATAAATCCTAAGGCCAAATGGTTGCTAAAACATTGCTTCAGAGTTTTAAAGGATTGAGTTACTCCTCATGGAATCAGTAGACAGTAGTAGAGCTGCCTAAAAGCACCTAACAAGGAGGATCTATGGACTTGGAAGAGAAGACAGGACATGTGCAGTTCCTTCTCAGATCCCCAGAGAAGCTCTTTTCTCCAGGCAGAGTGAAAAGACAGGGAAGACAGGCTAGGTATTCAAATCCCTGGTTTCACTCTTCTAGAATGAGGAATGGGAATTCCTTCCTGTCCCTGGCTTTAGAAGGAGTGAAGAAGCAGGGTCCTCTCCAGCAAAATGGGAGCATGTACAGGGAACAACACCATGCTATGGCCCCTCTCCCTTGGCAGGAAGCAGTAGAGGGGACACCTCCTAAAGAAACTTTCCTGCATCTAGAGTTAGATGCACAAGCCACTGGGTACTTTGAATATCTGTACTCACTAAAATGAGTCATAACCATCAGCTGGCAAGGAAACCAGTTCGGCTGTGCTGGAATGATTCACTTATGTCTACTCTTAAACTAGCAGCAACACCTCTGTTTCTCTTAGCTGTGTACAACCCTCCCTCCCTGCTAGAGAACTGGACAAATGCTAGAATCCAGAGATGCTTGCTGCTAGCCCGGGGTGCTGCCAAGGCTCATTGAGAAAGAAGTGGGAGGACCAGTTCTCAGACCTTCCAGACTTGCTTCATGTTTCTCACAGTTCATTGATCTGCAAAATGAGTAATTGCTTGACTTCCAGTGTACAGATTCCAAAAAATACATCTTGAAATGTACCTCTCTACTCCTTCCATTTGAATAAAGGATTATGAACTTCTTCAATGTAAAGTTAAAAAAAAAAAAAAAACCTGTTTAGAGTCTAGAGTGATGGCTCAATGGTTAAAGCAGTGACTACTCTCCCAAAGGACCTGAGTTCAATTCCCAGCACCCACATGGAGGCTCACAACCATCTGTACCTCCAGTTCCAGAGAATCTAATACCTATTTCTGGCCTCTGTGGGAACCAAGCATACACATGGTACATAGACATACATACAAGCAAAATGCCCATATATTTTGTTTTTGAGGCAAAGTTTGTATATGTAGTCCTGGATATCCTGGAACTTGCTTGCTACATAGACCAGGCTGGCCATGAACTCAGTGAGATTCTCCTACCTCTGCCTGGGATTAAAGACATGGACCACCATGCCTGAC